TTTTTCTACGAAATGACCCCTGAGTGTAGGTGATCTGAAAGTGGGAGAAGCCTCGGGAAAGCTGGGTCCAGCTCCCCACTTCACCCTTAATCTCACCGGGCTGCTGCTCTAGAGCTGCCCTGCGGATACAATGGAGGAAGGGAGAACCACGTAGGCTGCCCTGAACTCCTTGGAGGAAAGGTGGGATAAAAGAGCGATGGAGAACTATATCAGCTGAACGTTAGCCAGGACATATTCGTACTGGTCTGGAAATACAGGGTTTGGACGCCTGGCTACCAAGCCAGAGGTGGTTCCTTGACAGTTTCACAGCGTCCTTCAGTGCCTCAGCTTTTCTTTTGGCTCCCCTCTAATAGTGGACACATCTTGTCTTGCATTGGTTTAATTAGTAAGTGCAAGAAAGCCGAAGGTTGGCCGAATGGACAGGAGCAAGGTTACTGCAATGATGAGCTTCTGCTACATTTCAAGGGTAACCCATAGCAACCTTCTTAGCTCCATGGGAGGTACTCTGTTATGAGTGTTCTGAGCTTTCTGCGATAACCCACTAGAGTAACATGTGTTTTCCAAACAAGAAAACTACATAGTGAAGGAAAGCACATTGCCAACCAACAGAGGCTGACCACGGGTGACACTGCAGCTGCAGTACACCTCCGATAGAGAAATCAGTTTATGTGCCATCCTTTGCAATGAATAGGTCCGTGAAGCACTCAAGTATTTATGTGAGCATTTGCAGGAACGTCTCACAAAGAAGTCTGTGAATGGTTTCCTAAGAGAGAAGACTGTCCGTACAACCTTTGCCTTGCTATTCCAGTAAACCCAGGTTCTGAAGCTACACCCCGTGGAGATGGCAATGGCTACCATGGTTGTCTTTGCATTCCGGCTCTGTTACAGAGGACATCAAGAGAGCCTACTCACAATTCGGTCGGGTGGAGGAGTGCTGCGGATAAAACATTTGATCTGGCCCTTCTCTCCATGAAGAGCGTGCTGAGTCTGTGTGCTGGAGATTATCGGTGGCCCTGTGAAGAGAGAACAGAGAAAATGATGGAATGAAAGCATGATGGATTTTTTCCCTCTTGCTTCCTGCCGAATACAAGCTGGAGCCCACAGTTCCACACATACAGCATGCAATGCAGATAGAGGGCAGTGGAATTCCTTCCACGGACATGTCAAATGAGACAGATCTTGACTTGCACAATTGTGAACGGAAGGGGACTGCTTAAGTTGCCGGTGCACCAGAAGCCTTTTTTGCTGTGTCGTGGCTCAATAACAAAATGAGGGAATGTGTGTAGTTCCTTAGGAGGAGGGGCCAAGGATCACGCTTATTGATTTGGCTACCAGCAATGAGAGAAAGCGTTGAGGTTTAGGGCAGGGCTTGGAAGCAGAGAACGCAAAAGAACACAGAGACAGAAATTCTAGAATAAACACATGCCCCCCTGGTTTTGTTTGATTTGCAAATCACTCTGCTGCTGTCTCATTTGCCTGCTGAGCAGAATATGTTGGGAAGGCCCAGCCAGGATTGCACACTATGAAGTTGAACATGTGAAGCTGCCTTATCCTAATACTGATGTTGGTCTATCAAGGTCAGTGAGTTGTCTACTCTAATAGGGCCCTGGTCACACGGAGCATTAGCCACGCTAGAGAGACGGAAGATAGGCGGATTTTCCGGGCGTAATCTCACCGCCACATCTGGGAAGTGTAGAGCTCCCGTGGCTCAACCGAGGCTTCCCGCTGAAGATGCACGGCAAAAAACTAGTACCTTGGAGGTACTAGTTTCCGGAAACTGCGGGGCAAGGGTGAGCATCTGATCATGTTTCTGGTGGCATCCAGCGCCCGCCCATGTCCCCTCGCAAACAGGTAATTTTTTTCCCAACGCTCCACAGATGCACACAAGCACCCAACGGAGCATGCGCACACTTCAGTTTTAAAAAGTTTTAAAAAACCAACCCCGTTTGCCGCCCCGTCCCGCTTGTTTGCCTGTGGTGTGATCGGCACCTCTCCCCTAGCCACGGGACCTCGATGGAACCTCAACCGGACGTCTGATCTTGCAGTTGCGCGTTAGTTTGCCCCGGGGCAAACAGCCACGCTTCCCCCCTGCATTTTCCAGCCCGTGTGACCGGGGCCTATGTTTATTTTTGTAGATCACTGGCTCTGGCTGAATTCAGCTAAGCTACGCAGTGCTTGCATCGTGAAACCATGGCCTAAAGAGCAGTAATATTACTACTTACAGAAAGGGAATTGGACCATTTACACTAACCAGTGGCACGAGTATTGTACCTTCTCTAATGTTAAGCCCTGTAACATGATTAACTATTATCACCACTGTGATGGAATAGTCCTGCTGACCCACAAATGCCTCTTCATTCAACCCTCTGAGGTACCTAGGCACCAGCAGGAAGTTCTTCCTGAAAACTCTTCTGATTTAATTTCAACCTGTTGGTTCTGGTCCGACCTTCTGGGGCAAAAGAAAACAACTCCATTTGATCCTTTGAACTTGAGGTGTTGGGGACCGAACCTGGGACCTTCTGCATGCAGAGCAGATGCTCTACCCCTGAGCCACATCCCCTTCCCGAAATCTGTCCACTGTCTCAGGGCCAGAGGCTTTGGTTATATTGCGCCTGTGCTGTTCCACTGTAACACATTTGTCATGAGTAGCAAGGGCACTACTGTGCACTATTGATATTGCACATTTGAACGAACTGAGCGCTGACCTCTTATCTTGTACAAACTGGTGGATTTCCCTGGAAAGTCCCATTATGCAGGTGATAGCAGTGGAGTGTATGTACATGATGTGAGCAAAATAATACCAAGCTGCCCCGAATCTCAGGAGAGCGGAGTAACTTTTGGCATTACCACAGAATTCTTATAAGCAGAGAACCGTGGTGTTGGTACAGACCAAATTCCATCTCCATTGCCACAGAAGCAGGACTTTGCCTTCATCTCAATAATTAAGGGTCAGTTTCTTCTGGAGTTCTACTGGAGCTGCGGTGGCTCAAGTTCCATATCTGCGACAAATTCTATACAGATATTAGCCAGATTTGTACCGAGCCAGAGAACAAGATTCATATCCAAAGAGCCATAGCCAATGTGTAGTTCTTTACAGAAGTGAGGCAACAGACACTTGGAATATATTGTATCACACACCTTTCACACTCATATATGAATGGAGTCTGAATGCCGGATGTACAGCTGATGGCTTTTCCCCCAGCTGTTGGTGCTGATAACTTGCACAGAATATTTTTGTGCATTTCCTGAACTGCTAATATCTCACATGAATAAGGTTAAGAACAAAGTTTGAGTCCAGTGGGGCACCTTTAAGACCAACAAACTTGAATGAATAAGGTTGTGAATGATAAAAGAAGCTGATTAGTATTAAGTCAACATAGGATCAAGGATAAAGAGGTGTTCAGAAAGTGGATATCACAGTTCTTTTTTATAAAACAAGTAAGACACTGCATTACATAGTAAGCAGAAGACACTGTTTTTACAAAAAACAAAAGAATTATTTTATTGGCAGTACTGTGATTAACTGTACAGTGTGTAAACGTCTGTGATGTCCCCTGAAATTGAAGTAATTCTGCAGGAACAGTTACTAAAAGCACCTTTGGTTTGTTTCAGCACAGTTTCTGGTATCTACAGTTTGACACATGTATAATAAAGGGTACGAATTAAATGCATGAAAGTTATAAAAGTTATAAAATCATCAAAACATTTAATATAGCATTTGATACTTTAATGATAAATACACAATTTAAAACGTTGTCACAGAGCTGAAGGCTCAGAATTGGCTCTGCTTAATAAGACGGTAACCTGGCTGGCTTCTGGAGTTTTAGTTATTCCATCACTGCGCTTAAGATGGGTACACAGGAAGAGCTGTATGATCACTATGCTTGTTATGCTGACAATGTACTTTACTAAAAAAAGCAAGTCTAGTGTGATGCTTCTTAAAACTGCTTTAGCAGAAGAATTTGTGATTAGTGATCAGCTTTAACCTACATCCTGCTTACACAGCATACATTCCAGTGCATGTGCATTGTGCTTACTAGCAATTGGCACAAAAACTGGGCCTTAATTCATTGGTACAAAGACTTGTGCCTGGAAATATTTTGGCTACCTGATGGACTGGTGAGCCTTTGTGATTGTTCATGGCATATGTAAAAGAAAAGTATGTCAACATTACAGCAAGAAGTAGAAAACATTTAAAAAGAAACTGTTCTACAAGCAAAGGCAATAAAAAGCACCAAAGATTATTTGGCAAAATCTATTTGAAAAAAGACACTTTAAAAAGTTTTAATTCATGTTGCTTTGTAAAAATCCAAAATGTCATACTAAAAAGACAAACAATTTAGTGATCACTTATCTCAATGTTGTCCTATTGAAATCAGTAGGACTAGGCCAATATAATTAGCTAATGAATCATGCCCTTTTGTTCCTCCGATAAACTATCTTTGAAAAAAACAGTGGAAATTTGAAAATGCCTACTAAAGTGGTATTACGACAACATAGCTTTCTGTATGTACAAGCCAACAGTTTCTAGTATCAAATTCCATCAGGTTTTTTCAGTAATACATTTTGATAATAGTTTTTTTGCCAGCTTTTAAAAGTTAAACTAGGGAAGAGCAGTGGTTAACATTGTTAGGCCTTTGAAACAAGGACCCATAAACTGTGTGCTTCTCTTTGCTTCAGGCAATGGTTGTGGGGTGTTATTTCAAACAGCATCTTACTGTTGAGATTTCCAGCACCTTACCCCACTTTGTCCCTGGGTTTTTCTATCCAATCTTTAGATTAGGGTTGCCAAGTGTAAATTCCTCCGGAGTGGGGGACTCCTGTCCGGCGTCTGGAGCGTGCGCCGCATGCATGTCACCCAGAAGTGACGTGACGCCGCCGGGCATGCTGGGGGTGGGGCCACGACCATCCAAGGGAAAACCATAGAGTTTTCCCTCGGATGACTGTGGCCCCGCCCCCAGCGTGGTCGCATCACTTCCGGGTGACGCGCACGTCGGGGTGGGGTTTCCCCTGGGTCCCAATCTGCCGGCGGCAAGGAACGGGCCTCTGGGGCGGGGGTTTCCCTGCCCCCCGGGGGGACTTGGCAAGCCTAGTTTAGATGTTTACTAGCCAGCTGCACCGATAGCAGGCTACAGGAAAATTATTTTGAAAGAGAACTGTTAAAATACTCTTACCCATACAGTGATTGTGGGTGCCTTGAAGAGCTTGGGTTCTCACGCTTTTCACTACCCCGACTATAGTTTGTACCACAATTTGATTAGAGATGGCTGTCTAATAAGCACAGCTACAGCTGGTCACCAGACTCATGTTTTAAAAGGGGGGGAGGTATATAAGGACTGAGCTGCACAGATGTGCCAGCATTCCTTTATGTAGCCACTGTTGTTCTAACTTGGGTGCTTTGTGGCTGGTTAACCCCAGGCAGCACAGAGTTCTTATTTTAGAATCTTTCCTTTCATGGGACTGGCCACTTAACTATTTATTTACAGTACATTGCCAAAGGTGGTCGGAAAAATTCCAGGCTGTAGCTCTCAATTTCTTTCTATACAATCCACACCAATAGTGTTGTCTGGGCACCGGCAAGAACGACCCCCTGGGGTAGCCAAGCATAGATGAGTGCAGCCGCCATTATTCACTGAGCAATAGTTATGTCCTACAGGGAAGAAAAAAATTAAACATATAAAAATTAACAAAAACATGCATTAAAAAAGAAGGGAAAACATTACAGTGTTAAGTTTTTGTTTAATGTTCACTGACTCCTAACAAGCAGCAGTCTTATACATACATTAGACACTTGGAAAAACTAGGAAAGTTCTGAAGGGTTAGTACTGCGCAAACTTCTTCAGGATCTAATCAGAAAGAGTCTAGTAGTTTAGGAGTGAAATTAGAGAGCTCTTGGAAAACTTCTTTTCACTTGTTTGTGAGCCAACAAACTACTGACTTGAGCACACTGTGGGGCTGCTGGCAAGACACCAACTCCTCCATCTCCTTCCTGGATCCTTGAATGCTGTTTCAACAGAATTTGATGTAGTGAGAATCATAGCAAATGTAGCTTTCCAGGCATTTGAGGAACGGAACATTGTGAGACCAGGGAGGTCCAAACAGGGCTGGAGACTCCCCTTGGTTGCAGCCATCACCATCGTAGGTTAAGTGGGGTTGGGATGTGGATAAGGAGCCATTCCTTTCTGGCTTGGATTACTTCTGAGCTAGAGAAGGACTCCCAGGTGTTTATTACGCTTGCCTTCAGATTGAAGGTGAGCGCTATGTGGCACCAAGATTCGCATTCCAAGCTTAGGAAACATAAACTTTGGGAGCACCACTAAGAATGAAGGTACAGGTCAACACTTTGCACCGAAACAAGGCTGAGAAACGTGCAAACCTTTGGCTTCATTCCTCTCCAACAGACAGGATTTCCCAACTGGGGTCCAAAAAGTCTTTCCTATGTGGCAACACTAGCTTTGATTTTGTTTAGCTGTTGGAAATGACACGGCACCACATAAACTGAACTAAGTTATCTGAAGGTTAAACCTCACATTTTGTTTTCTTCTGTGCTCATTTGAAAAGATCATCACCTCCTGGTAGAGAAAAATACAGATAACTGTACATTTTCCAGTGAGAGTAAAAGCAACATGGGGAACTCAGCAGGGAAAGAAGGGGTTAAGGACTTCTCTCTGTGTACTGAAAGAGCTGCATTTGGAGAAAAAACGTTTTTAAGAATTAACACAGAAGAAACATAATCAATAGTCAGACCCTGAACATGATGGTGAATATATAAATCAGCACACTGTGTCAGGGCCAGTTTTTGGCCCAAGAGGCCACTTATGACAATGGGAGAAGTGCTTTCACTCCAGTGGCCTCCTGGTTTGGTCTGCCTTTCCCTTCCCCAGCTGGACATCCTCTTTCCTCCCTCTTCTCCTCCATCTGTAATCAAAAGAGGGGGGCTGTGATGTCTTCAGCAGCAACTGAGAGCATGAGGCAGCTCTTGCCTTAGACACCAGACCTTCTCCAGTTATGGCTAGAGGGAAGAGGGAACATGAATGGCCAGAGCAGGAGAATAACGGAAGGCTATGCTTTTAAGCCAGAAAGGAATTCACCCAAGAAGACCCTGATGCTGGGAAAGATTGAAGGTCAAAGAAGACGGGGACGGCAAAGGATGAGATGGTTAGACAGTGTCATAGATGCAA